AAACGTTTCTACATTTTTTTGTTGATTTGCTTTGTTTTGTTTTTTTTGAATGTCCAGAGGACCAGATTTAACTTTTTTAGATGCAGAGAAAGTTGAAGCGAAACAAGATGAGAGGTAAAAAGGTTTAAACTGCACAAATGAGCTGCAGTCATGTTCAATAAGAACAAAATGACAGATGAGACAAATATTTCAAAAAGTAAAAATTGCACAAATACAGAAATACAAATCCGGCATGTGCTGAAAGAGCTGAACGCTTTGATGTCACGCACATTTCAGAATTAGCTGAAACACGACTGACCTCTGTAGTGTGGATGTTCAGGTGGGGGCCTACGTGTTCAACTGTCCCCCGCTTACATTGCTGCTCCTGCATCACTCATCCCCCTGTGAGTAGCAAGTGGCCATCATGGCACTAACGATCAATCGTTGGACTGATGGTCCTCCTTGATCATGTGAACAGCTGGTTCTGGACGTCAACATCAAACTGGTTGATCCACCATGAGGAGGTGCTGTTTATAAGACTGAGTTTGTTGCAGCTCCTCAGACTGAAGAAGTCTTCTGGATAAAAGAGGAAACGTTTAATAAAGAAGAGTCCGTCCAGAGGACCTGGCTGGACCTGGCCAGATTATGGAGCAGCATCAGGAAGTCTTGCAGTCACTTTAAAATGTTTTGACCCAAACCATCATCAAAGCTCTGGTTCCACTTTAACTCTGCGTCAGGTAAACTGGACCTGAGGCTCCAAAAGCTAATCAGGTGTAGCAGTACATCCAATAATAACTGAAGTTTCATTAACATTTGTCTACTAGTTCTTAGGATATTTTGCTAACAGCTACATTGTGGTGGTTGTGTGATGGTGACGTTTATAAAGGACATGAAGAGAGGAAACAGAACGTGGCTGGGTTTATTTGTATCGATTGTTTTTTGCTCATACAGACCACACCACTCCTTTCTGCTGCTTCATAAAATGTTGATCCTGTAAAGAACTTCATGATTTTTACCCATAATGCTCCTCTGTCTCTGCAGGTTTCTGTGGTTCATCTCGAGTCATTTTTGGAGCAGCTCCTCAACATTTGGTCCAGATCCATGGTGTCCCTAAGCAGCAGAACCCTGGACACGGAGCTGTTCCGGGACAGCGGCCTGTTCTCCATCTGCCTGGAGGTCGATGCGAGCAGCAAAGGTGGCAGCTCGGCCTCGTGCGGCAGCCCCGGCGTGGAGGAGCAAGGGACTGTGTTCAGCTTCAGCCCTGAAGATGGGGAAGAAGAGGAAGATGAAGACAAAGGTGGGAGTTTGAAGATCCTTTTCAATGCAGACCGAGAAACGGGATCAGCCCTTCTAGAGCCCAAGCTGCCAGAATTTCCGTTTCAGCCCTCTTCACCGTTCTCCCCCACCCTGGAAGACATTGAGGAGTTCCTCAAGGAGAAGATGGAGCTGGTCAAGGAGGAGCTCCTGACCCAGAAGGTGGACTCGTCCTCTCTTCCATGCAGCTTGAGCTTGATGGACTCTCCATCATCCTGCCCATCCCAGATTCTTTCCACAGACAATGACAGTGACCTGGGCACCAGCACCACCCTTTGCTCTTCCAGCCCAGAGACCCCCAAAAGAGAAAAAACAGGTCTTATCCAAGCCGAGGCCCCCACCCCTTCACCTCCCACTCTGACTCCGTCAATGCTCCTCGGAGCTCCCGTGGTCCTGCAACTGCAGCCGTTACCTCAGCCTCCAGCAGGGTCTCCCTCCGGGGCCCAAAGTGGCATTTGGCTCACTCACCTGGTCATGGGGCTCCATGGTGCTACGGCTCCAAATCTGACCCTGCTGGCCCCCCAGGTGTCCTCTGCATCCACAACCGCTGCCCTGGTCTCGCTGAGCAACGGCGACAAAGTAGTGGATCAGAAGTACGTGAAGATCGCTCCGCTTCCCATCACCACCAGGACTCTTGAGATCACAGCCATTGCAGGAAACGGGGCCCAGGGGGCCTCGCTCATAAAGCCACAGGCCCCACGGGTCACCAGAGTACCCCAGACGGAAAGGGTCCACAAGTGTTCCCACCCCGGATGTGGCAAGATGTACACCAAGAGCAGCCATCTTAAAGCGCACTTCCGTCGACACACCGGAGAGAAGCCCTACACCTGCAGCTGGCCCGAGTGTGGCTGGAGGTACGTACACGCCGTGCCGATCAGAGTCGCCCAGTCCGAGCCCAGAGTACAGGACTGGACTCCTTGAGGGAATGCTTGTCACCCGCCGCCCTTCAGCCCACAGGTGTAGACTGAGACAGACTAGTTACTGTTTGAGGGAAACACTGAGAACCTGACAGAGATCTGCACAATATCACATGAGAGGACGTGTCCTGTATGACTCTCAGCTACTACCACGTCGAGCTTTAGCTGTTTGACTCTCAG